CGACTGATCCTTCCCAATTTCTTAGCCTACTGTTAGAGAAACAAGGAGCAGAGACCTTGACTGGTCAAAAGCAGATAGCAGCTGTCTGGAATGAACCATACATATATTTAGGTTTCCAGATAAAGACATCAAAAGCTTAGTAACTGACAGGCAGGTCCGCAGGGGATTGAAATGTAAGCTTTTCTGAGCTTCTGTACGTCTCAATTAAAAAAAAAACCCTGGAAACAACAACTAAAGAATGTGATGGACAGTATTATTGTGGCACCTCTACCAGACTGTAGCTCTGAGGCTACCATGCTCCCCAGATTTTGAGCAGAGATGACTGTTGCATATCCTTCGGGTTGCATGCATGCCCGTCCTACTTTTTGTTGTTCTCAAGATTAAATCATAATCCCATTAACCCAGGAATCTCTAAAGGATCTGATTGCCTTGTTGCTATCACCACCTTTATGGTTTCAGCACTCTTTTCTCTCTTTCTCCCTCCCCTCCGATATATAATGTAATGTGGGGAAGATATAGAATGGCATAGTGACTTTCCTCACACTGAGAGCAATTTTCTGACAGTGAAAGCAATTAATCAATGGAATCGCTTGTCTCCTGGCATTGTGGGTGTTCCATCAGTAGGGTTTTTTCCAAAAGAGAGAACCATTTGACCAGAATGGTATAAGATCTCTTGCCTTGTGTGGAGGGTTGGACTAGAAGACCTCTGAGGTGTCTTCCTGCCCTATGGTTCTATGTTCAAAACTGAAACAAATCTTGTACGATGCCATCATTTTTGGAGCTTTATCCTGCAAGGCTCCCCTCCCTGTTCTTCTATCCCAGAATTAAAATGTAGAGAAGTCCTGACATGAGACTTCTGGATGATGTCATCCAAGCAAAAGATCAGAAGGATCAGACATCCTTCCATGTTCATATCTGAAGTTCTGAATAACAAGTGAATAGCCACTGATTCAACATCTCACCCCATTTCTTGAATTCTGCTTTTCCTGAACTTTGTTGGTTGTGTTCTGACCGAGGCTTCCCAAGAGCATGAAGCAAACTCCTTGTCCCCTGCAAAAAAACCCTTTTATTAATTTACTGTGAATTCTGCTCATTCACAGCCAGCTTTCAAAGGAGGATTTACAGTCACAGACCGTATCTGGCTTGGAGAGCTGCCAGGCTGATATCTACAAAATTTGGCAAGGAGCGTCAGCAATTAAGCAAACTAATTGTCTCCTGCAAACTCCACTCCCCTTTCGCTCCTCTTTTATTTCCTCTGGGAGGGGCCATTCATCATCCACCTGTGGCCTCACTCCCAAGCCAATCCCTGTTCTTTAGCTGTTCCATTTGTCTGGCAACTCTGCACATGTGCACACTGGAAACAGGCTCCAGCTGTTCATCTGCATCACTGATGTCTGACTCCAAAGGCAGCTGATAGCTGTCAGTTAGCCCCGGCCCCATCTCTGCCTCTAACGTAGAGCCCTCATCAGAGCCTTCCCAAGACTCCAGGACTGGTCCATCTTCCTCCCCAACCACCTCACTTCTCCGAATCTGCTGCCAGCTCTGCTGGCCACTAGCAGACCACAAGTTGGTGCATCTTCTGCTTTTGTCCTGCAGCACCGAAGGATTGGAAGAATCCTTGCCAAGGAGATCTACAGCTACATATAACTAGGAATGAGTGCATTTCCTAACCCCTCTTAATAAAATTAGTAGCAATTTGTGGACCTCTGCTGAAAACCTTTCAAGACTTCTCACTAGTAAAGGTCAGAAAGTCTAGGCAAAAGAGAAAAATGTCTTGTTTTGTTAGGAAAAAGGCAAGGGCTGAACTTTGACTGCTGCAAGCCAGCATGGCCCCATCCCAAATTTATTTCAAAGCTTTCCTCAGGACTAAAATCCACAAACCCATGCATATAAAAGAAGATCCCTGTAGGATCAGGCTAAGGTTCATTTAATCCGTCTTTCTCGTCCCAGAGTCCCCAGCCGGGGAGATAAAAAGGCAACAGCTATTTTCTGTTGCTGCTCGCTACTAATTACTCCTCAGTGCAGGATTCTGGAGCAGACAGATAGTTGTCATCACTATTAGCCACGGGTGGACTAATCTTTCTTTGCTTTATTTAATCCTATTTTCTAAACCACTGGTTCCTTACATTGAACCCCCAGTAGTTACTGGACCATATTCCCTTCTTCCCCAGATAGGGTGAGCAATAAATGAGGATTACGAGAGTTGAAGTCCAGCACCTGGAGACCCACTGCTGTCCAATGATCCTAAGTCCCGGTTTCAACTTTCCAGGAAGATAATGCAATTCTTAACCCGCACCAATTTGGCACGTTCCGCTTAGTCTTGTGGCTATTCTACTCCAATAATGGAAAAAAATGGCACATATTTTACCTCAGGGTAAAGATGCCGACGTGAGGAAACAGACAGCTGCTAAATGATGGGAAGGAAATCAATGAGCCATGGTGGCGTAGTGGTTAGAGTGCAGTACTGAAGGCTACTGCTGCTGCCTGCTGGCTGCCTGCAATTTGGAAGTTCTAATCTCATCAGGCTCAAGGTTGACTTAGCCGTCCATCTTTCCAAGGTCAGTAAAATGAGGACCAAGATTGTTGGGTGCAAGAGGCTGAACCTGTAAACCTCTTAGAGAGGGCTGTAAAGCACTGAGAAGCAGTATAAAAATTCAAGTGCTATTACTATTTTCCTTCCTTCCTTCCCTCCCTCCCAATGGTTAAAATACAGCATTGCAGGCTAATTCTGCCGCTGCCAGCAATTCGATCCTGACCGGCTCAAAAGCATGTAAAAATGCAAGTAAAAAAATAGGGACCACCTATGGTGGGAAGGTAAACCTTCGGTGCACCTTCGGTGTTTAATCATGCCGGCCACATGACCACGGAGACGTATTTGGAGAGTGCTGGCTCTTCGGCTTTGAAACGGAGATAATAATGGTTCCCCTAGAGTCGGGAACCATTAGCACATATGTGCGAGGGGAACCTTTACCTTTAGATGGCTTTGTTTTTCCTATTCATTTTCTCTCTGAGAAAGTTGATTGTTCAGCAGCATTGGCAGCCGATGGCTATTAACCGTCTCCCTCCAGTAACCGGGGGAAAGAGCGACATTAAATACTTGCAGAGTTTGGAGAAGCTGCCCTTCCACTTGGGATCCAGGGGCTGGAAGGACCCTCCCCCTCAAATGGTATTCTGATTTCTCAACTTTTCATTTAGCTTGAGAAATTGGCCATCTCCGTTGCCACAACTGACGTCTCGTCCTTTGTGTCAGGTCAGTGACATGTGAATAATCAAGGCCAAACTTTTATTTTGGCTTCTTTCTGAGAGTGCTTACATTAATTGCTCTCCCTGCACAGTGAACTGTTACACACCTCTGTTAGGCAGTATTATTTTTCCATTTCAAAACTGAAATCCTGAGGGTATTTTTTACGCACGGCACAAGAGAGATGAACTCAACTGGTTGGGTGAACAAAAAGGAGAACAGATGTAATGGTGTGTTTGTGTATGTGTGTGACAGGCTCACTGATGCTTGGCTGTCCAAAGCTATGAAAATACATTTTATTAACATTAACCACCCCTGGTTTACATTTTATTTCAAATAACCAGCTTTTGCTTACATGGAGCTATCTAGCTTGGCCAATGGGAAAAATTTTGCCATAAAATAATGACCTATAAATGTAACAGGACGTGGTGGCTCAGTGGCTAAGACGCTGAGCTTGTCGATCAGAAAGGTCAGCAGTTCAGTGGTTCAAATTTTTAGTGCCGCATAACAGAGTGAGCTCCCGTTACTCGTCCCAGTTTCTGCCAACCTAGCAGTTCGAAAGCATGTAAAAATACAAGTAGAAAAACAGGGACCACCTTTGGTGGGAAGGTAACAGAATTTCATGCACCTTCAGCATTGAGTCATGCCGACCACATGTCCACAGGAATGTCTTCGGACAATTCTGGCTCTTCAGCTTTGAAACCGCCCCCTAGAATTGGGAATGACTAATAAATATGTGCAAGGGGAACCTTTAGCTTTACCTAATGATCCATATCCAGTTTCTCTAAGGTTCTGTCTTGGAGATAGAAAATTCTGAAATTCTGCTGGTTTCCAAATGAAGTCCATTTTATTTCAATATCCTGTGAACAGCCACTAGATTTTCATTACTGGCTCAGTATCACCAGTATTTTTTATGCCCCAACTATTAAACTAATAGTGGCAAAGTTATAGGTTTGGGTTACTTAATTAAATAATTTTTCCTCCTTTCTAAATTATGCATTTTTATCAGCATCACTGATGAATTGCAGTGCAGTTATTCTCACTTGCTCTGATAAAGAGTCTATTTACTGCAACAGAACCTCATCGCAGCATTAAAAACCCAGAGAACGCCTGTATCACAATTCCTTTATTTATCAGTATCAAATTACATAGTAAATTACTTTGGAGAATGCGTTTCTTGAATACTGTCATACAAATAAAAGATCTTTCCATTATTTGACGTACCTTATTGTCTTAAAACTGTGCGTTGAAATAAAACATTTTGGCATGTCCCAAAGAAACAGCCTGCATGAATTTTCTGTACTCTGTTTACGCATAATACGTCTATACTTTTTGAGATGCAGCCATGGGTTCGTAAGTGGCCCATACCTATTATGGCCTTTAGTTATCAAAACAACCAGATCCTGTTCTGGGAAAATGAGATTCCTAGCCAAAATCCAAGTTAACATGAAGAATGAAAGTCCTACCTCTCATCTGAGGAATCTGCATCCAATTTCCTACACCAAATCATACAATCAATTTCACCCCAGAAATCATGATTGTATTCCTCATTACTGCAAGAGAACCAGTATTCAGCTGGGAAGGTAAGTAAACCACACCAGGGATCAAGGCCCAACCCTTTTTTTAGGCTTTTACATTGTTAGTCTACTTATTTCCCAATTGAATTATTTTTTGGCCAAGGTGAGCAGCGTTGGCCAAACTTCTAGATACCAGAAGGATTTGGGCATTCCTTTGAGAACTCTGTGCGTGTTTGTGTGTGTGTGTGTGTGTGTGTGTGTGTGTGTGTGTGTGAGTGTGATGTGCAGGGCACCAGAAACTGCACCCTGGATGATCTTGCAGTCCGACATGATGATGATGGAGCATCTAAGAGATGTGGCCAAGGTCCAAATGAACAGAAGTACAGAAACGCCAGTGCAGGGTCACTGGGGGGCAGGAAGTAGGCAGCATTTCCTGTTGAGCCGTCAGCTTGTCAGTATCATTTGAAGTCAGGTTTCTCCGGGAAGGTGCAACCGGAACGCTTGACGATCACACTGGCAGCGTAGTGCCCGGCCCGGATACACTCTGTCATCGGCCGCTCGTAGACCAACTGAGACAGGAAGCCTGAAGGACAAGATGAAAGGAAGGGGAAAAAACATAAAAGGCTGAGCATACCTGACGGGAAGAAGGACCAGGGAGAGAAAGGCGGCAGAGCATGGCTTTTGGGCTTCTTCCAACTTCTTTGCCACCAGCAGGCACAGCGGGCAGGGATAGCTTTTTCCTATGTCTGCCTGTGTGCGCAATTTGCTTTCTCCTTATGGTGCATGTTGGCTGCATACACAACTTTGGGTGATTAGAATGGAGTAATTGGGGGGTGCTTTCTGAGCCACCCAGCTTTCTCTGGCAGAGCTGGGTCCGTTTTTTTTAAAATTTGGCCTTTCCTTTTGCCAGTCCCCCCCCCGGGCCAAAGAGCACAGGCAGCTCATCTGGTGCTTCGCAGTACACACTTCTACACAACTGTACACACAGTTCTTCCTAAAACGTTTAGGAAGAATTCCAGAAGTCATGTTTCGCAGGCATTTTTAACATGTTTAGAATGCAAATCCTTAGAAAGTTGATGCATTGACACTTTAAAGCTGTTGTGGGTATTTATACTTGTTCTTTTGTTAATCTGTTTAATGTCGCAAGAAAACACCGAGAGAAGAGAATATCTGTAGCTGAGGGTTGAACTGTGGATTCCTTAGTGCTCTTATTAGTTTGATGGTTTGCTGGCAGACTTTTCATTACCCTAATAGACAACATCATCAATGCCAGTGGGTGTGGCATTTGAGCTCTGTTTATATAGAGCCCTGCCAGTGTTGGTTTGTCTGTGAGTGTGGTGTGTTTGGTTTTCCCCTTGGTAGTCCTTGATTAGGAATTGTTTTCTGGTTGATTTGCCTGGTGTTAATCCCTGCTCATCTTAACCACACCTCTACAAAATAACTGTATATAAACAGGGAGCAAACCCCACATTCACTTACCCTAGTTGGGCAATGAAATGTCTGCAAGCACAACAAAGAGCACCAAGGACGCTCCAAAACACACTATTTCTAAAAGACAGATATCACATGGAGCCAAGCCATCTTTTCCTGTTTATTGCTGACTTCATTACTACTATAATGATCCATTCTGACGTTATATCGTATTTCAATACCATTGGTAAAAATGCTGCAGAATGGGATAAAGTAACTTCTGTGGGGCTGCAACACCTGAATAGGTTTCTTAGATGGACCAATGACGAAATAATCCTAGTGGACAACCATTTAAATATGAGCCAGCCATGTGCAGCAGCTACCAAAAAAGCTAACACAGTTCAAGGCTGCATAAACAAAGGGATAGAATCAAGGTCACGTGAAGTGTTAATACCACTTTATAAAGCCTTGGTAAGGCCACACTTGGAATACTGCATTCAGTTTTGGTCTTCACGATGTAAAAAAATGTGGAGACTCTAGAAAGAGTGCAGAGAAGAGCAACAAAAATGATTAGGGGACTGGAGGTTAAAATACATGAAGAATGGTTGCAGGAACTGGGTATGCCTAGTTTAAAAAGGACTGGGGAGACATGATAGCAGTCATCCACATAATCAGAAGCAGTTGTGAGTGAATACTTTTGGCAATATAGTGTATCTCAGGGGTTGCCACAAAGAAGAGGGAGTCAAGCTATTCTCCAAAGCACCTAAGGGCAGAACAAGGAGCAATGGATGGAAACTAATCAAGAAGAGAAGCAACTTAGAGCTGAGGAGAAATTTCCTGACAGTTAGAACAAGTAATCAGTGGAACAACTTGCCTCCAGAAGTTATGAATGCTCCAACACTGGAAGTCTTTAAGAAGATGTTGATAGCCATTTGTCTGAAATGGTATAGGGTTTCTTGCCTAGGCAGGGGGTTGGACTAGAAGACCTCCAAGGTCCCTTCCAACTCTGCTATTGTATGTAAATGTGTTTTAAGCCAAAAGAACCCACACAGTGTGTGTGTGTATGTATGTATGTATGTATGTTTGTATGTTTGTATGTATGTATGTGTATATGTGTGTATGTATGTATATGTATATGTATATGTATATGTGTGTATGTATGTATGTATGTTTATATATATATATATAAACAGCTGTGCATATGTATGTTCCTGCATAACTCGGGAACGCCTCGAGCAATTTCAATCAAACTTGGTACACAGATGAGTTACTCTCTGGAGAAAAATACTCTGGAGAAAAATACTGTGGGGGAAAGATACCCCTAACACCCCTCGGGTGTGTGTCCTGTTAGGATATAGCCTGTTGTGCTGTACTGGCTTCTATTGTACAGTGCAGTAAAGTTGCCATAGTAATGGCTTCACAGTACTCCACAAGGGGCCTCTCTCTGGTAATCCAACATTAGAAATTACGTTTGGTACGGGCATTTTCCCCCTATAAATAAATACCCAGCCAATGATGGGTTATCACCTAGTTTAAAAATAAAACCAACCTTCTAAGATAGCAATTCACAGTGCTTTACATCCCCCTCTAAGCGGTTTACAGAGTCAGCGTATTGCTTCCAACAATTTGGGTCCTTATTTACCAACCTCAGAAGGAAGCATGTGGAAGGCTGAGTCAATCTTCAGCCCTATCAGGATCAAACTCCTGGCAGTGGGTAGAGTTAGCCTGCAATACTGCATTCTAACCACTGCGCCATCAGGGCCCCTGGTTTCTCTTCCCTATATTAACAGTAGGTTTTGGCTAAAAAAGGTAAGTCCAATCAGAATAAATAAATTAGCATACATCTGTCCCCTCATTGTATTTTCAAACCTCCTCAAAATATATTTCAGTAATTTCATTATATCTTATTATTTCTGACACGGTCGAAATTAGGCTCAACAGTTATTGTTCTGGTCAGAAGTAATCTAAGGCACTGTTTCTTAACCTTGGCTGCTTTCAACCATGTGGACTTCAACTCCCAGAATTCCCCAGCCAGATGTAAGCCACTTTTGCCATCTGTGCAACCATGCTCTAAACCCTGTTTACAAATTCCATATTTGGAGTGGACAATACCATAATCCAGATTGATCCTTTCATTCTACAACTTCTCTATGCTGCAACTCAAATTAAAAAACCCTTCCTTAATGGTGCTTTGAGAAAATGTAAACTGATAAAACATCATAAAAGCCACTGTGAAGCTGTTATTTCTTTTGATATGATAGAAATGTAAATAAATACCAAAAGATAACATAGACAAACCTAGAAAGTCAGTGGTGAAATGTGACATGGGAACACACTCCTTACCTCAAAGCCAATAGACAATTAAAAAAAAAAAGGAATGTTGTTAATTTATTATAATACAAAGGAAAATGAAAATGTTGGGAAAGTAGGTGAGGGAAAAGGGAAGAGAAGAAGATGTAGAGGAAAAGTGGGGGGAAAACAAACAGTGTTGACTTCCAAGTCTTTTGTAGTGCAGTGAATAAGATAACAATAGAGTCTTAGCTTGGTACTTAAATGCTTTGAAACTCATCGAATTTGGCATTCAAGGCATTTTGACACAAAAAGTTTTTCACAGGACTCATTGTTTGGTACACAATACATAAGCTAGAGCTTGTTGGTGTCGGCTGCCTTGTGACTCACTACATTATTCCTTATGGGGAAAAGTTGTTTGGTACTCATCACACACCAATTAACGATGAGAACTGAGGTACCAAAAAGGGATGCAGTGGCTCAATGGCTAAGATGCTGAGTTTGTTGATCAGAAAGGTTTGCAGTTTGGTGGTTCGAATCCCTAGTGCTGCGTAATGGAGTGAGCTCCCATTATTGTCCCAGCTTCTGCCAATCTAGCAGTTCGAAAGCATGTAAAAATGCAGGTACAAAAATAGGGACCATCTTGGTGGGAAGGTAACAGCATTCCATGTGCCTTCAGCATTGAGTCATGCTGGCCACAGAGACATCTTTGGACAGTGCTGGCTCTTTGGCTTTGAAACAGAGATGAGCTCCGTCCCCTAGAGTCAGGAACAAATAGCACACATGTGCAAGGGGAACCTTTACCTTACTGAGGTACCACTGTATACAGCCTCAACTTTTTACTTTTATGTTGTTAGTATATATACTCAGCTAGTAGACAATTTTTGTTAAGGATGACTAACATACACTTGCGCAAAAAGGTCATAACGTACCACCTATTTGTAGGGAAAGGACAAAGTTTGCTTGGATGATAGAAAGAAAAAGGAAGAGAAACTGAAGCCAAGGAACTTGCAGAATGAACAAAGGACAGAAATCAGGATGGCTCAATGCCAAAGGCTTCCAAAGATGAGCTTGAACGTGACACCCATATAGGATATCAACTATAACTGGATAGATACAGCTGAGACTCATGGGGTAAGTCCAGTGACTATGTTTTTTTGGGGTCTTTTAGTGACCCCATAATCAATCCCTTGCATCGGGGTGGAGTCGGGGCAACTGAATGGAATTGAGCGTTTACTGGTTGGATGCCCTTCCTGTCACCAATGCAGAGTTTGCAGCTGATATTTACTCATTGTACCCAGAGAGAGAAATACCTGCCGCTACCTAGGATTGAACTCGCAGCCTCCTGATTGTGAGGTGAGAGCTCCCCCTCTAGGCCATTGCACCGCTCAAGTCCCGTGACTACTGTTCTGACCTAGGCTTCCCAAAAGCACGAAGCCAACTTCTCGTCCCGGTAAAACCTCTTTTATTTAGTTTAAAGTGAATTTCTCTCCAGCAAAGTCCCGGCCAAGTTTTTCATGAGATTTCACAACTCCAGACCTTTATCAGGCTTGGAGGGCTGCCAGACTGATATCTTCCAAACACAACTGTGTTGCAGACAATACTTGGCAAGAAGTCAGGAACAGATCTTCACCCGAATGAATTGAATTAATTTTCTCCTGCAAACTCCCCTCCGCTTTATTCCCTATGGGAGGGGCCATTCACTGTCCACCTGTGGCTTTACTCCCGAGTTGGCCTTGTTCGTTAGCTGTTCCCTTCTCCTGGCAGTTCTGAGCATGCACACACTGGGAACAGGCTCCAGCTGTTCTTCTGCCCCACTGATCTCCGACTTCGAAGGCAGCTGATAACTGTCAGACAGCCCTGGCCCTCTCTCTGCCTCTGACA